ATAAACTAAGTCCAGAATAGGCTTGATAATTCAATGAAGGCTAAATTGGATTAATAGTCCCCGTTAGACCTGGCATTCGTGTCATGTTTCTCGTGTTCGTGTCGTTTTCGTGTCATACCCAATAGCTTAACGGGTCGTGTCATGTAATACCCGTTAAAGTAAATATGACCCGACCCGAAATCAACCCGTTAATATTATCAGGTAACATGACCCGACCCGTTACCCGTTAAGAAAAATATATTTTAAATCAATAAAAATGAAAATGAAAAACATAATTTGACCCAAAAAAACGTAAAACATAATACTAAATTAGTATATACATACTAAATTTCGGAGTTGACCCATTCATGAAAGTTGTAAAGCTTTTCATTACGAGTGATTACATTTTTCACACTTCTACAATAATTATCATTAATTTTATTAATCTTTCACTCAAATAAATAACATTGTTCATGAGATTTGAAGGGTTTTAAAAATCTAAACGACCATGTAACCATCGTCTAAGCGTTGATGATGCAATTATGAACGTTTATTATGCTTTCACATCTTTCAAACTTATACATTAATGATTATGAATTTTGTTTATTTTGAACTCCCTTAAAAATACTATTCATGAGAGTTTGTATGGTTTAAAAAATTCAAACGATCATATACTCATTCTCAAAGCGTAGAGGATGCGATACTACTACAAAATGGACATTTGCGACACCTACTCAACATGATGTCAGATTTACTGTCGCTTGTAAGCGTCATAAACTATCTATTTCTCTTTTAACCGACGTAAACATTTAATGTCGCTTATAACCGACATACATTTTAATAATTTTTAAATAATGGTGTCACTTTTAAAAAAATAGTGTCGCTTTTAAGCAACATAAAGTATTGGCGTCGCTTCTATCCGACACTAATTATTGTTTTTAAATATTTTAAAGCCTGCGTCGGTTCTTCCTCTCTTGCATCTTTCTTAAGTATTGGTGTCGCTTCTATCCGACACTATTATTGGTGTCGTTTCTTCCTCTCTTGCATCTTTCTTCAGGATGAGTTTATGAGGTGGCACACAACTAGGCCTGGTAAACGGGTCGTGTTTATCGTTTTCGTGTAACACATGTTATCTTAATGGGTCGTGTCGTCTCTCACTCATTATTTTAACGGGTCCTTAACAGAACCCGTTATAACCCGTTAAGAAAAATATATATTTTTTCTTAAATTTTCACATATCACACATTGCCACATAAATATTACTTCAAAACATTAAAACACATTTGTCGTTTAAGTACTACATCTACACTAAAAAATAAGAGCATAATAAACAAACATCCAAACACTACTACTCTATTACAAAATGTTAAATGTGCAAGGATATGCAAAAGGAAAGAGTTTTTTTATTTTTTATCAAGGTTGTGAAGTCTTTCTCAAAAGTTTAAACCTTGTCAATGGAACTCAAAGCTTACATGTTATTCCTTTTACAAAATCCTCAATTTTCATAGATCATCATGACATAAGATTTTGTGGTATCCACTTCTGTAAATATTTTAAATTGACGATCAAATTAGTTCATTGTATTCATATAGGATCAAGGAGTGTAGTTGTAAAAAATCATCAAAATCAGAGTTAAAATAGCCGTTAAATTGAGATTTTTCGTTTATAACCGTCGAAAAGTTTTGTCTCATTACTTGATCTCTGAATGTTTTTTTTTTTGCAAATTTTGGCGTATGCGATCTCGAAGCATATATCAACAAGTTTGACGGTTGGATCGTTGAAATTAGTTTCGTAGGATGCGTATCCCATCAAAACGATAGATTCACTAACACTTAAGAGTTTATTTATACTTTGATCAAGTATAACATAAGATTTTGTGGTATCCACTAGTGTAAATATTTTAAATTGAAGATTGAATTCATTCATTGTATTCATATAGGATCAAGGAGTGTAGATGTAAAAAATCATCAAAATTGGAGTTAAAATAACCGTTAAATCGTAATTTTTCGTTTATAACCGTAGAAAAGTTTTGTCCCGTTACTTGATCTCTAAATGTTTATTTTTTGCGATTTTGGGCGTATGCGATCTTGAAGCATATATAAACAAGTTTGACGATTGAATCGTTGAAATTAGTTTCGTATAATGCGTATCCCTTCAAAACAAATTTGGCGTGTATATATATATATATATACCATTGAACTTGATGGGATACGAATTCTATGAAACTAATTTCAACGATCCAACCATCAAACTTGTTTGTATATGCTTCAAAATCACATACGCCAAAAATCGTAAAAAACAAAAATTCAGAGATCAAGTAACGGAACAAAACTTTTCAACAGTTATAAACGAAAAATCACGATTTAAATGTTGTTTTAACTCCGTTTTTTATGATTTTTTACAGCTACACTCCTTGACCTTATATGAATACAATGAATGAACTCGATCTTCAATTTAAAATATTTACACTAGTGGATACCACAAAAATCTTATGTTATACTTAATGAAAGTATGAATAAACTCATAAGTGTTAGTGAATCTATTGTTTTGATGGGATACACATTCTACGAAACTAGTTTCAATGCTCCAACCGTCAAACATGTTTGTATATACTTCGAGATCGCATACGCCAAAAATTGCAAAAAACAAAAATTCAGAGATCAAGTAATGAGACAAAACTTTTCAATGGTTATAAACAAAAAATCACGATTTAACTGCTATTTTTACTCCGATTTTGATGATTTTTTTACAGCTACACTCCTTGACCCTATATGAATACAATGAATGAATTCGATCTTCAATTTAAAATATTTACACTAGTAAATCTTATGTTATACTTAATGAAAGTATAAATAAACTTTAAGTGTTTGTGAATCTTATCGTTTTGATGACTTGGAATAAATATATTAATTATTTTATATATTTTAAGTGTTAATTAGACTATGTTTCAATTAGTATGTGATGATATTTAATAATAAAATTACATTTACGTTTTTTATTATGTTTTTTATTCAAGTTAAAATGTTATAAGAGATAACAAAAATTAAAAAAAAAAAAAAAAAAAAAAAGCTGGTTATTCTTTTTCTTTGGATTAAATATTAGGCGGGAAATAGATGGATATAGACTACAAAATTTCCCAAACATTAAGCGGGAAATGGATGAAACTCTTGAAATATTAGGCGGGAAATTAATTATTATAATTTTTTTTATGTGTTTGGTATTTTTAAATTACTTGATACTTTTATTTTTAATGTGTTTTATGATTTTTAATCTCAATCTTTGCCTTTAATATAATATAAAAATAAATAAATAAATAAAATTTAAATTTTAAAATTTATATAGAATAATAATTAATAAACAATATATACATATTCATTATATCTATTGCATTTTATAGTAAGTTTTATTTAGTAGTTTAAAAAATTAAAATCATCAAAATAACATTTTTCTTATCGTGTCAAAACAGGTTACCCGAGTGTCACTCTCATGTAAACCTGTTAAAGACTCGTTATTAACGGGTTATTATCGTGTGACCCGATAATAATCTGATTAGTTATCGTGTTGACCCGAAATCCGTTATTTTCGTGTCATTTATGTGTCGTGTTAACGGGTCGGGTAAGAAATTGCCAGGTTTAGTCCCTATGGTAATAGGTTAATCAAAAAATAGCCTCGGTGGTGCAAAAAAATTAAATTTAAACTCTTGTGATGAAATCTGTTAGAATTTAAGTCTAAAATTAACATTTCCATCACCTCTCTGTTAACATCCCACCCGGTCTTTTTTCCAAATAACCCAAGTAGTCCATAAGCATCAAAACCCCCATCAAATTGTTGTTCAACGGCTGACAGCCACATCGGCTCCGACGACTAGCAGGTGAAGCTACTGAACATTAAAGTTGAATACTTTCAATTTTTTGAATTTTTTGAACAAGAGATCGTTTAATGGATGAGAGAACTTCTTCTCTCTCCGATTTTTCCACTCGGGCGTGTGAAATCAGCTTCTGGTCCCATCAGATTCGGTTGCTGAAGCAGAAATGCTTCAGCTCCCGCAGATAACAGAGCTCTTTGACTCGATTCTTCAGATTCAGCTCTCTGTTTTAAGTTGTAGAAAAAATGGATGTTTGAAAACTGGTTTTGATTTCGAATCACTCCTCACCAACATTCAAACCAATCTCACTACAACCGAAGTTCTGTCGATCCTCCCGATTCTCCGTTTTCAATCAGATAGCAAAATTGTTTAAAAAAATTCAGATATGATCTTGAGTTTTGACATCTCTTCAATAAACTCCAGGTGTTGGGTTTAGCGTTTAAATCAAAATTCCTACAAAATTAACAAACCAACAATTCAATTAAAGTTCTCACATAAGAAACTTTAAATGTTACTTCAATTGTCTAGTGCTGCAATAAAAGAATCTAGTCGTTCAAATGGACAAAAGAGCTTTGAATAGAATCGATGGAGCAAAGAATTCATAGCTTTGGATGCATGATATTTTTTTTTTCCCTTTTGCTTATGAAGGCTGAACGGGTTAATGGGGTTTACAGAAATGTTAATTGTGGGCTTGAATCCTGACGGATTTTACCATAAGGGTTTAAATCTGAATTTTTTCATCACGAGAACTATCTTCCGATTACCCTATTACCATAGGGACCACTAATCCAATTTAGCCTTCAATGAAAGGTATATGATATTTCAATGCACGCGTTAAATGGTATTGAAAAAAAAAAAAAAAAAAAAAAAACTTCAGTTTGTGAATTTAACCTAATAGGCCGAGGAAATGGCGGTCTTTAAAAAGTAAGAACAACCAAAATGGTCTTTGTTTTACTATTTTAGAGAAGATTACGTAGCCAAAACTTGAGGAATATCACTAAACATATCGATCACATATTTCTGGATAGTTTTCCGTTTGGTGCTTCTAAAAATGGATGGGCAGGGACTATTTTTAGATAGAGAGAAGCAAGATAAACAAACACGGCAATGGTTTTATAGAGGCATACATTTCCATAGTTGAAAAGGATTTTAGAAATAAAATCCCTACATAGAAGGACTTGGGAGTTCTTCCTTGAGGTCCTTCTATGCGACTCTGAGAGAGGTTTTCCCATAATATGACCATTGCCGGATCCAGTTCATTTGATACAATGGGCCTTAAGGGTGGTGTTATTCTTCTCGGCTTTGTCGCCTTTGCTTTGTTTTCTTGCGTCGATGGTTTATCCGGCGGCGAACATCTTTTGGGGAAGGTTGTCCGTCGTAGCATGGCTGAGAACGACACCGCCTGGGTGAGCAGTAATGTCTTTACGTTTCAAGACAAATATTTAAATATTGGATTTCAATTAACGTGATGATGCTTCATTTATTCGTGTCTGTCTCTAACAACTATAGAACTATATTGTCATCTACCGTATCATTTGATGATTAAATTCTTTTTATAAAAGCATAATATTAGGGAGATCAAATTTTTTAAATCAAATGATGTGGTTGTTGATGATTGAATTATTACTTAAACGTTGATTACGTACTTATCTTCTATTGATGATACATCACTTGGTTTGCAAATTTAGTTTAAAATTTTGATCTCTCTAACATTACCCTTTAAAAATATTAGGGTGAAAAGTGTCATAAGTTGCATTAATATTGCACAGTTAAAGAGTGTAGACATTGCATATTGTTCCACAATCTCCTAACTGATAAAATGAAAGAAAATTTAGATTAGAACTGTAATAAACCACAAAATATATACTTCATATTCCATGGTTCCCTAAATTTTGTATTTATTGTAAGCGGTGGATTGTTCGGGTAATTAAGACATTGTTATTCAACTCACTGCATTTCTGAATTTAAACCCACCCCTAGATCGACCTACCGTGGTCTGGGCAAATCACTTTTGCATCCTACTATCCAAGTTACAACATGCAAAATTAGAAGTTGTACACATGTGAATGGAGTATGAAGAAGAACAAGGAAAATGGAAAGAGAATCTACAACTTGGCTGAAAGTGGAGGTTTGCAGCAATGGTAAGTAGAGAAGCAAGTTGTAACTTGGCAACAAGGAATTATCCAAAAACAAAACTAGTCAACTAGGAAAGTTTTGTGTCCTTCCCCTTTTTTACTTTTGACAGAGTGTTCAAGAAAGGATTTGGATCCTCTCCTAAGCAGAGGGTTCGAATCCTGTTTTTTTTTGTTTTTTTTTTTTTTTTTGAGTGAAACGATAACGTTAGTAAATTAAATGTTAGATTAGCCACCGACGAGGTTCGAATCCACGCCGTAATGCAAGGGCACAACACCTTTCCACCACTGTAATAAAGGGCCAAATTTATTAAAAAAAGAGAATTGTAGCCAAATTTATTAAACTCAAAAAAGTAGCTTTCAGTTTCAATTTAATTCTATTTTTTAAATTTTAAAACAAAAACTAAAAATTAAAAAGAACGATTTTCAAACAACCATTAAGAGAATCACATTTTTATTAGGAGAAAAATGATTCACATTTTAAACTACCTATGTCAATCACATTAGAAAGTTAATTGTATATAAAATATTCTTGTCACATGACAATGTTAAAACAATCAAGTTATGAAATGCCATGCATGTGTCTTGCATAATCAAATATGACAGTTTGATGAAAGTTTTTCTCTGCATTATTTTTTACAGCAAATGTGTTAGTTACTACATAATCTAGCTAATATAGTTAAAAGGAGATTAAAATGTGTGTATAATTTGGTGAGAGGTGTGAACAACACTCCAAAAACATATCACGAGTCATTACAAGACAAGGCCAACCAGCCCCTTTCTTCCCGTGCAGACAACAGCCTAGCTTCTGCCTTCTGCTAATTATTTCCACATTTCTCTCACTTTGTCCGCCACTTTTTCTATTAAAAAGTGCTTTCCTTGCTGAAGTGCTTTCCTTGCTGAAGTGCTTTATCCAACCATGGTTTTTAATCAGTCGCTGAAGTTTGTTCTTGCCCTCTCTTTTCTTGTCCTTTATTTTAACTCCATTAATTTGCATGCCCTTAACATTGGTGTCCAAGCCATAGATGCCTCCATTGTTCTGGTTTGCTCCTTAATTACCATGTTCTTCTTAATCATCTATTTACTTTTAATATTTTTTGGGTTCCCATTTGCTTTCAAATCATAACTTGTTCTCCCTACCCATTAATTCTAAATATTTGCAGAGTAAAGATTGCAGTAGACAATGTGAGTCAGAGTTCTGTACAGGTACTGCATTTTATTTAATTAAAATTTAGATTTAGTTAATGAACTGATCAAATTATGTTTATACCATTTTTCTTTGCCCAATTATAAGGAAATTAATTACATTTTTCTTGAGTTTAATTTTGTTTTTGTAATGACAGTGCCTCCATTTTTGAGATATGGGAAGTATTGTGGGCTTTTATACAGTGGATGCCCAGGGGAGCAGCCCTGCGATGGCCTAGATGCATGCTGTATGAAGCATGATAACTGCGTTCAATCGAAAAACAGTGCGTTCATTTTCTTAATCCTTACAATCTTTTTACAGTTTACTGTGTTCTGAGATTATTTATCATTTTGTTTTCATGGGTTAGAAATATTTTTTATATACAACAAAAGATATTCAAATCCGGGTGAATCGACAACACATGCGTCCTTACCAATGTAGTTATGCTCACGTCTGTGAGGTGCAAATTTGATTTAGCGTAGGAAGATTAATTAAAACTGTAGCATTAAACACTTTTGTGTTGGTAGAGAAGATATTTATATGAAATAGTCATGTACAGGCCCGACCCTGAGGGTAGCCTAAATAGGCGCCCGCCTAGGGCCCCTACTTCGGAAGAGCCCCAAAAAAAAATTATATCATGTAATTAACATATAAATACCCAAAAAAAAAAAAAAAAAAAAAAGTAAGAAATATCATAATTCATTTGTTAGTGCAGTGGAAATGTTGGCTTCATTCTTCTTTGGGGTGTTAAGTTCGAAATACAAAGTTGTTTTTCAGTCACTAGATTTTTCTTATTTTTCAAATTTACTGTCAATCCATCAATCCAACTCCTAATCTATCTGTCTAAATGCATATAAAGTTACAAAACTCAAGTCTCTTTGCAATCTTTTTTCCTTCAACTTCTCGTTCTCTCCATTTCTATCAAATGTTTAAACCAACTTCTCATTCTCTCCATTTTTATTGAATGTTTAAAACAACTATCATATGGTCTTAAAGATTGTAATTAAAGGTAATCAAAACTTTGAGTTTATATTTTTCTTTTCAATAACTTTTTATTCAATGGATTATTTTAATATTCAATTCGTTAGTGTGATGTTGATTTTAGAAGAAAAAAAAACACAAGAGAAACAATTGACGTTGAATTTATTATACTCATCAATCAAGTTTTATTGTTATTTACTCTCTTGATCATCAAGTTTTATTGTTCTTCACTCTCAATCTTAGACTCTTCACTGCAAACATTTAGTACATTTGTGTCTAAAAAGGTGAATCGTGTAATGTTTAAATAATGTTTGTATATTTATCTTCTTTTGATATTAATTTTTAACGACATTTGATGTGAAAATAAAACTTTTTATGTATTTAGCAAATTCTTTTTATATTAATCAATATACAAAGAATTGGAGATCAGAGAATTTTAGAGCCCCACTTCGAAGGCTCGCCTAGGGCCCCCAAATTCTTAGGGCCGGCCCTGGTCATATAGATTATAAATCGGGGAAAGAGACTTTGATGAGCTTTTTCAAGTGTTGGGGGTGTAAGCGTAATATTTAAATTTTTTTTGTCAAACGATAGATTTATTAGACTAGGAAGCCGACAAGATTCGAACTCACACCATCATATAAGAGTAACACTCCTTTACACCACTGTGATGAAAGGCTACTTGTTAAGCCTAATATTTAATTAGGTGTTTCATGTTTTGACAGAATCTAAATGGGGTGTTTGTGCACGTGATCTATACTGAAATCTAGCTTATGTCTTTTAGTACTTAAGCCAGGAATCCGAACACGTGACCTCGTATGCACTAAATTATTTGAGTTACAAATTCATTGCTCCTATGTATTTTCATTTTCATCGGGTTGTCTTTGAGAACAACTTGAATGCAACAAGTTCACAGTCACATGGTATCTCAGTCTAATTAATAATGCAATATCGTGTGATGAAAAACTTTTACATGGTATAATATTATTGAACCGAGACGCCATGTTACCGATAAACCCTTTCCTTGTAAGTGTGTTGAAAGACTTTTACATGGTATAATATTATTGAACTGAGACGCCATGTTACCGATAGACCCTTTCCGTGTAAGTCTGTCTTTCTACGAGAGATTAGATTTGCAAGTGCAAATAGAAGGAAAAGTAAATAATGGTGGCATGTTGTTATGTTTGTGGTGCAGATGACTATCTAAGCTCAGAGTGCAGCCAAACGTTCCTAAATTGCATGGCAGAGTTCAAAAACAAAAGAGGGAAAACGTTTAAGGGGAACAAATGCCATGTCGAGGATGTTGTCGAAGTTATAACCCTTGTCATGGAGGCTGCTTTAGTTGCTGGAAGATATCTCCATAAGCCCTAACACCACAGCAGCTAGCCTCTATCCTCTAGTCATTTCTAATTGTTTCACAATTTCGTTTTCCTTTTTCTTTCTTTTTCTCGTGTTATTTCTTCTCGCGTTTAATAAAAAGAAAAAACAAATTTCATTCAGAATTCTATCTTCGTCACGGAGGAGGAAAAATAGAAAGAAGTGAAAATTGTAAATTACATATTTATACTTTAAATTAAATTTTGTAGATGTCCAGGTTGACATGGTGTTTTATCAATTTCTCTAAAATTCCACACCATGAAAGACACTGATTCCAACAAATAATCAAGTCCCATAATTATAACTCAAAAGTGCGTACTGCATATATATGTATTACCAAATAAGGAATAAAAGTATATTTAGGAAAACCTCTCTAATTACCTGAGCTACTAGGCTTAGATCCGCTCTTCGCCTTTGCAGCTCTTCCTGAAGAAGCATCAGGGCCATCTCTATGAGCTAGTGAACTAGCCGCTCTTGCCGCAACTAATTCAAGCATCTGGGCATCTCTATCAGCTAGTGAACTAGCCGCTCTTGCCGCAACTAATTCATCTACGGCAGCTCTCTCAGTTGGTTAGCTAGTGTCAATGGCCATCTGCTATCTTTTAAGTCTACGAATGACATAATTGAAACACTGAACTCACGATTTCATCTTTATTTTGGACATCAAATTCAATAAATAAAAAGAAAACAACCAACAAGATAAACAGGTTGTGTAGGGGAGACAAAAATGGTGTGTGGTTGCCATAACCCCGGCACAAATTTCTTAAGGCAGCATACAATTCAAAATACTAGACATTAAGCAACTGTAAATTCATAAGTAGCACGATATAAAGTCAGTAATAAGTTGCGTCAACTGTTTATGATACACAATCTCTGAATAAGAAGATTTCAGTTCTTAGACACCATATAGATCTTGAAACTTTTCAGGAATGCTATTAATTCACACGAAGTTCGTACAGATCCCCACACAAGTAGAGTACACAGACCACATACAACATAACTCAAGTTCCTCTAGAAATAGTATCTACAAAATTTAATGATAACTGTTATAGGGACTCCAGTGCAATTTCTCCCTTGTACGTTAAAAACCAAGAGTGCACAATGACATTTTTGGAGTGCTAGTGACAGCTCCTATTTGGAATATGGAGTTACCTAGATGACCAAGCAAACCTTGACCACGAATGAAAGACGTTGTAACTTTCATGCCCAATATAATCCCAAAGTGGATCATTATACCTCAATTCAAACCAGAACAATACCTACAGCACTAATAATACCATGTGTATTAGTAGCAAAAATCTATCAAATTTTTAATACTCAAATCAACAACTAAGATCAAAACATCAGCAAACATTAAATGTATAAAAAAGAATCTAGCAGTTCCAAATTGTAACGAACACTGTATCTTAGTGCCATATGACGACAAATCAGACCAGGAGATCTGGAAAGTGTATACCTACGATGTAAGGTATGACATTGCCAGTTATTTTTAATAACATGACTTCATTTTCCCTTCGTGGTACGCAAATGAATAAATGAAGTGAACTGGGCAAACTAGCCAGGGTTGATATCCAATCAGAAGCAGGCATATTGGAGGCAGGAGATTTAAGCAAAATGGAGCATAATCTCTAGTGGATTGTGAGCAGCTCACGTGCAAGGTAACACATCGAGAACATGAAGGATTATTAAAGATACTGGAATTTCCCTAACAAGAGGAAGTAGATATAGTGACGAATGTACATTGACTTACACGAGCAAAGTTTACGCTTTACGACAAACATTCATGCAAAACACGAAGTGCATTCATTCAAAGTAACCACAGCCAGAATCTCAACTTGGACCGCTGATTATAAATGGAAATCTGAACAAACTAAAGCTAAAGGTATCTAATCGCCAGTAACCAGGCAAAACCTGAGTGAGTCTATGATTGTAATAACCACAAGTAACAGATCCATTAATAGTTCTTACATCCATAAGTTCAAGGCAGTAATGAAACAGAAGTATCACTAGAATGCTATAAAGTACATAGTTACACAGAATTTGGTAATACAAAACATTCTTGATTCTACAACCAAAACCAAAAAACAGAACAACAGCAGGATAGAAATACCATCAGACACAAGCCAAAGTGTCCATATGTGCATAAGCAGATTGCCATCGAACTATTAGAGACCTCTTGGTGTAAATGTTTTTGGGAGTTAAGTCACAAACTTTCTTTTCCCTAAGATTATAAGAGATGACCTTACAAGGAATGTGCAGCAAAATAGACGAATCATGCTCATCAACGAAAACAACAACAAATGAGTAGTAGGGTTCAAGAGGGTTGCAAACCATCTCCGGAAATGCAGAGCTTATGGCATTAAGGTCGACATTGTACTTGACAAACCAACCAGAGTAGTCCTTCTCCATCTCGAGCACCTCAAATTGCGAAAGTTGCGGCCTAGAAATTTCGATAAGATGCAAATGGCCACAAGACTCCCCAAAATATCTATGCCATCGGTAGCCGCCGTGACCCGGCGGACTTGGCACAGTCCTGAAACGATGTTCATCTGTGTCATAGAGCAAAACTTTACTTGCATCGCCAATCCAACTAATTAGTCCATTGCAGTGCACTCCACGGCTGAAGTTCATGTCGAATTTCGCAGGGAAATTAGCCCGAAAAACCTTCCAACTTCGGGTCTCAGACAAAAAGACCTTAAATTGGTAACCTCCAACTGACTCAGAAATGGTACTAACGACGACAACCTTGTAATGAATCGATTTCGCAGGATCGAAAGCCAAAGCGACACCCGAAACGGTTGTCGATTTAGTAGCAGCTGGAAAAAAGAACGTTGAGAACTTACTGGTTGTGGGATTGACAACGTAGTACCTGCCGGTCGTGCTGAGGGAGGAGCAACACAGGAGCAAGCCGTTGCAGGACTGCAGAATCTCGACGCCCCGTGGGTCGCCGACGAAATTGAGAGGTTTGGAGCGAAACCCAGATGCATTTTCGTCGTTGCCGAGAGAGGTGAAGAAGATTTCTTGAGATATTATGGTCCGGGCGAAGAAGGCAGAGACCTTGGAATTTGGGTTTTGGAGGGCATGGCGGTTGCAGAAGTTGGGGCAGGAGATAAGAGCGAGCCAGTGCTTGGAGACGGATTTGAAGCGGAGCAGAGATTTAGGGGGCATGCAAAGAAGGATATGTGCAAGGAGGTCTTCGTTGCTGGCTATGGTTTCAGCTGCTTCGGGACAAAGACTCTCCATTTTCCTAAGGTCTTTTTCTTGTTCTATGGGTGAAACGAGGAGAGTCTGGGGTCTACATCCGACGGTAAGCGATGCGTTGCGGTTTAGTTTTGATTTTCATGCGATATGGATTAAAGGATTGTAAAGTTAAAAAAACAGACTGCTTATCTGTAAGTAAAAAAATATATATAACGAAATATCATTAAATTTGGTACATCTTACGTACAAATAAATAAAGAGAGTATATGATGACCCATTAACATAATAATGTATTTCTATGTAATTATTATATTTTTAAAATAAAAATTGAAGTTTGTAGTTATATTTGTTTATATTAATAAGATTTTAAATAAAATTCATAATTTATGGAATTAAAAATATTAAAGGAAAATTATAATCGTTAATATATTATATAGTAGTAATGGTATCGAATACCACAACAACAACAACAACAACAACAACAAAGCATTTTTCCACTAAGTAATGTCGGCTATATGAATCCTAGAACGTCATTGCGCTCAGTTCTGTGTCACATATTCCGTTAGATTCAAGTACTCTAGGTCTTTTCTTAGAGTCTCTTCCAAACTCTTTCTAGGTCTTCATTTACCCCTTCGGCCCTAAACATCTATCCCGTAATCGGATCTTCTAACTGGAGCGACAGTAGGCCTTCATTTCACATGTCCAAACCACTGTAACCGTTTTCCTCTCATCTTTCCTTCAATTTCGGCTACTCCTACTTTACCTCGGATATTCTCATTCCTAATCTTATCCTTTCTCGTGTGCCTATACATCTAACAAAGCATTCTCTTCTCCGTTACACCCATTTATGTACGTGTTGATGCTTCACCACCCAACTTTCTGTGCCATAAAGCATTGTCGTCTTATAAAAGTTTCCCTTGAGCTTCAGTGGCATATGATAGTCACACAACAAGTCGGATGCACTCTACCATTTCATCCATCCAGCTTGTATTATATGGTTGAGGTCTCCATCCAACACTCCATTCTTTTGCAAGATAGATCCTAGGTAGGGAAAGCGGTCGCTCTTTGGTACTTTCTGATCTCCAATCCTCATCCTTAACTCATTTGAGCCTCTGTTTGCACTGAACTTGCATTCCATATACTCTGTCTTTGACCGACTTAGGCGAAGACCTTTAGATTCCAACACTTCTCCGACTTAGGCGAAGACCTTTAGATTCCAACACTTCTCTCCAAAGGTTAAGCTTTGCATTTACTCCTTCCTGAATTTCATCTATCAACACTATATTGTCTAGGAAAAGCATACACCAAGGAATATCATCTTGAATATGTCATGTTAACTCATCCATTACCAATGCAAAAAAGTAAGGAGTTAAGGATAAGCCTTGATGTAACTCTACAGTTATGGGGCAGCTTTCGGTTTGTCCTTTATGAGTTCTTACGGTAATCCTTGCTCCATCATACATATCCTTTATAGCTTGGATATATGCAACTCGTACTCTTTACTTCTCTAAAATCCTCCAAAGAATGTCTCTTGGGACCCTATCATACACTTTTTCTAAATCTATAAAGACCATGTGCAAATCCTTTTTCATATCTTTATATCTTTCCATCGATCTTTCTATGAGATAGATTGCCTCCATGGTTGAGCGCTCTGGCATGAACTCGAATTGGTTGTCTGAGAGCCGTGTCTCTTGCCTCAGTCTATGCTCAATTACTCTCTCCCAGAGCTTCATTGTATGACTCATTAACTTAATACCCCTATAATTCATGCAATTTTGCACGTTGCCCTTATTCTTGTAGATATGCACCAAAGTGCTCTTTCGCCACTCATTTGGCATCTTCTTTGTTTTCAAAATCCTATTGAAAAGGTTTGTGAGCCATGTTATACCCGTCTCTCTCAAGACTTTCCACACTGTAGCAGAAAATTTTGATTTTGTACATTACCATGTCATTACTGACTTGCACAAAATCCATATTGCACGGTTGGCACGGTAATTTGGCAAAAAGTTACACCCCTTGTAACATATGCAGTCTATATATGAAACTAGGATTTTCAATTTGATTGAGGAAGAGCCTAGTGACGGTATATTGTGACACAACATTGGTGCAGGCTTTGCTCGGAGTTCAGGTGAGTTGATTTTAATATTATGTGACAAATATTTTGCATATGAAATTCCTTTGTTATATACTTTGTGTGTGTAACATGAAGATACAAATGGTTATTATTCCTTTGTTATATACTTTGTGTGTAACATAAATTTACAAATGGTTATTACCAGTTAATAATATGCTTTATGAAATGTATGCGTATGTATGAATATTTGAAATGATTGCGAACTGAGAGAGCTAGTAGACAACTGTTGTTGTTCTGTACTTTCTTTCTGGTTCCATGAGAGTGTTTGGAACCCTAGATGTCTATCTTTCTTTATGGTTTCATGAGTTGGTCTCACATGAATGCCTTCATTCTAGGTATGCCATGACAAAGTCTAGGGCAGAAATTCCACTCGGAGTGACTGTGAGACATTCCAAAATCCAATGTCTGTATCTTTCTGTTATCGGATTGCAATGAGAAATTTCGAAATCCAGTGTTTGTATATGATTCCATGAGTGTGTTTGGAAGGGTATTTATCAAATATAGCCAAATATAAGCCCCTAATTTCAAAAGTGTCATTTTTTATAAAAACTTTCAAATATATCCAAAATATCACTTAAATACACACAGACACCCTTAAGCTTTAAACCAAATAAATTAAAAAACCAAAACCCTATTAGATGAAGAGTTCTCACGGCTAAACCTAAAAAATGGTGAAGACCCAGTGAAGGCATCGACTATTGGTGGAGACTTGTGCTTCCCTAAACGAAGGTGAGTGTAGATGGTTTAATGTTTTGCATTTTTCCTCGTCTACGTTTTCTCTTTGCGTTTGTAGTTTCTTCCTTTGATTGAATATTTATGGAATAATGAACTATCAATTTTTGCACACCTTTGCATTATTAAGGGTGTCGTTTGTGTCTAGATTCTGTTTGAAGGTTATCACTGACAGTGGTAATGAATCGAGAGATCTGTTATGTCCTTAGAAAGTGCAAAAAACATATTTTGAAGGTTTAGAGAATAGAAATTCTTATGGTGCATATTAGAAAAATTAGGTTTCTTTTGTCAATAGAAGATTGACAAACCTAATACCATTTGTCGATCTATTTGAGGAAAGCTAATTGAAATTCATTTAGTTCATATTAGAAAAATTAGGGTTTACGATATAGAAAATTTTTTTCTTTGTGTTTTTGTTCTTCTTATTTTGGTCTACAAATTGTCAATTAATTGTACTAATAAAAAAATGAGAAAAATATTAGGGAAAGTACAACTTGATTAGCGCACAAGAATCTTTTAATCAACAATTAGTTATTTGTATGAATTAAGGGTATTTATGTCTATTTAAATGAAATTTTGAATATATTTGAAAGTTTTTATAAAAACTAACATTTTTCAATTAAGGGCTAATATTTGGCTATATTTGATAAAACTCTCTTTGGAATGCATAATGTCGTGATTGTTGGCCTACCAGCCATATGATTTTATTATCTATGGAACAAGGGGTAGGCAAACAAGTCTTGAATCTACAGGTCGGGGTGGGTTCATGTGGTTCGGGGCATCTAAAGACAAAATGGGATAGGTTGACAAAATTAGCTGGGTGGGCAGGTCCAAAAATATGTGGAAACGGGGGCTCGCCCCAGACCGTCTCTGTCACTTCCAAGTCAGAAAGCTGAGCTCCTTTCAATGTTGCAAGGCCATGGTCCATGAAAAACAAGTATCACGGTAGCAAAAGCCTAACTATAGTCCCCAACAGAATTGCCGAACTAAATTAGCAGCTAATCGATTTCAAGGAGGAATGGGATTAGACCTGATAATTTCTTACACGACCTGTTAACACGACACGTAAATAACGAGTTTCAGGTCAACACAATAACTAATCGGGTCGTTATCGGGTCACACGATAAGAACCTGTTAATAACGGGTCCTTAACAGGTTTACACGAGAGTGACACGCGGATAATCTATTTCGACACGATAAAAAAAGGTAATTTTTTATTATTTTGATTATTTTAATTTTTTAAACTACTAGAAAAACTTACCATAAAATACAATATATAGTGGATATGTATTTATTGTTTATTAATTATTATTGTATTATTTTTCTATATAAATTTCAAAAATTTAAGTGTTATTTATTTATTTATTTTTATAGTATACTATAGGCAAAGAGTGAGATTTAAAAATTTATAAAACACATTATAAATAAAAATAAGTAATAAAAATATCAAACACATTAAAAAAATTATAATAATTAATTTACAAGTGCGAAAAATGTGAAAAAAATATGCAAATGCTCATAATCGCATCCTCTACACTTTGAGGATAGGTATATCATCGTTTGAATTTTTTAAAATCATGCAAACCCTCATGAATAATACTTTTTCGGGAGTTCAATATGAATAAAATTCATAACATTAATGTAAGTCTAAAAAATGTGAGAAATGTTCATGATTGCATCTTCTACGCTTAAGCGATGGTTATATGGTAGTTTAGATTTTTAAAACCCTCCAAATCTCATGAATAATGTTTTTTATTTGAGTGCAAAATTAATAATAATTAGTGTAGAAGTGTGAAAAATGTAAAAAAAATATATATATATACAATCACTCTTAATGACAAGTTTTACAACTTTCGTGAAGGGGTCAACTCCGAAATCTGACACCATAATCCATAAACCTTAGATTTGAATTTAACCATCCATTGTTGTTTACACTTTATTCTCACCGAATTTCATTTTTTAGATTTTCTTTTTGTAAAGTGATCTTTTAGCAGATGTAGAAAAATGAACGGTTTGGATCGTTGATATAATATTCCGATATTTACAGTTAACTAAAATATGAGTTGATGTTATATAGTTTCTAGAGACTTTATAAACTTCGAGCTATATTTTCACTAATGGTAAAACTCTGAACATAATATCAACGATCCGAACCGTTCATCTTCCTGCATCCTTTAAGAGATCATGTTTTCAAAAGAGAAAATCAAAAAATAAAAAAAAAATTGGTGAGAAAAATGAAGCGTAAATATAAATGACAATCAA